GCAGTGTTCTTTTCAGCATTGAGATTAGAATAGTTTGTCCTATTCATGTTATGAATTCATACTCATACATATTATCCCCTATCTGCAGAGGGCTGTGGAGACTAAATACCAGGCACATCTTCCAGTATGCAAGACTACAATATAGAAGCTCTATAATAACCAATAACCATCTGTTTGACATAGTCCACAAAACTTTAGATTTTCTGTTTGACAGAGACAGTGCATACTGCATATCACACCTGAAGGTCGGCCCATATGTTTTGGAAACTGCAACATAATTTGAGTCATGGATTATAATGTATTATTGTCTGGCATCTGAATTTCCTGCTACTAAATATTCTGACACTGAATAATGCCTTAAACAACAGGCAGGTACAATCTATATATAATGTAGAGAATGGCATGTTAAAGTGTTAACTCCTTGACAATCCTGAGAATAAAAATAAACATTCCACTGAAAAATATGAGACAAAACACTTACCATAATCATAGTCTGTGTCTATACCTGGGGAAAAAAGAGTTGCAGAGATACAGAAAAGATAGTGTAAGACATACTTTAAACTGCGTTCTCTGAACCTGAATTTGGAATCTTGTTCAACTGTATGCATCATGATCCTTTTTCCTCTGACCTTGTTTAAACTTTTAAACTTTACCATAACTTTGTGTCTGTGGTTTGCTTTTCTGCCAGACATAACTTACTGTTTGTTGTACCCATTCATGCTGTGATGTCACTTCTATTTGATCAGTCATGACCAACGGCACTACCTGCACAATTATTAGTTGTAAGAATCTGAAAATTGAATTTAGTCTGAGGCTTAAGCTGAGCCAAATGTAATTCTAGAGCCAGCACAAAAGTGACTATGATAATGGATGCACACACGATTATGGTAAGTTCAAGCAGTTGAACAGAGCTTCATTGCAAACAGTCAAATGTGTGTTTCGTGGAGAAAGCTGGTTACTTCTAACTGGGTGAAAATTAGGTGGTGAGGAGACACATGAAAACATTTTTGTCCTCGTCAGTGGAATGCTTCATGGCCAAACGTTCCAACAGAATTAGAAAAGAAAGATTCTACTGGGGTTCCTCTTCTTCTCAGTTTGGTTTATTGGTGGGGGCAACCAACGGCAAGGTGCGTTAGCATCATCTTCTGCTCAGATGGCAACCTCCTGTGTTGGAGCGTGAATCAGAGTTATCTAGGACATAATCAATTATTTTGTCCAATCATGTCTCTTTCAGATGAAGGAGCATATTCCCTATTTGAATGGTAAACACTATTTCCAAGCTCAGTTCTATTGCATATGATAATTATATATATATATATATGAGATAGATTCAGATTACTGTCTGTGTTCGTGCAAAGTAAGCAGTTTTAAAGTGACCGTGACAAACATTGTAAGTAAACAGGAATGATACTGGATGAAAGGAATTATTCTTACACTGTTTTACGTTTGTTAAAAAGTCTTATGGCTGTTGGGATGAAGGACCTTCGAGACCGCTCTGACTTGCACTGTGGGTGCCGTATGTCCTATCCTCAGCCTAGGCAAAATGATCTCCTCCTTGGTGCTCCTTCTTGCTGTCCTCACTGTGCTAACTTCCTGCTGTACTGCATAAAAGTGTCTCCCTGTATGAGCTACATCCCAGCTACGCTGACATTCTTCAATAATGTTTCCTTTGATTATTGTTTTTGTAGGTGATTTACTTCTAATGGAGTTTTTCTTCTTCTTCTTTGTTCAATTTATTGGCAGGTGGCAACCGCAAGGCACATTACAGCCATCTACTTTTACAGTCACATAAACCCTCATAAATATCAAACACCACTTTGCAGAACCCCAGGAGTCACCAAAGGCAATGTTTCAGTTTTTTAATCAAATGACAAAAAGTTGAAAAACCAACAAAGAAGTTGGTCCCCACCCGCCAATAAGCCAAACAAAGAAGAAAAAGAATGATAGAACTGTGATAATTCAAGGACTGACACGTTTTTTTTATCGTTTAATTTTAAGTAATCACGATTGATATAATGATAGTCTGTTGCTGTGGTTGTAAGATACCAGTGTGCAAACTTACCGTCAAAGGGCTTGTCAAGGAAATGCCCATACACAGTAAAGGTGGCTACCCCCAGGTAATTGCTGGCTTCCAAAGTGTAGTTTCCGTTGTTGTGGTGTGTTGGGTTCTTAAAGGTTAGACAGCCCTCTATATAGTCCTGGTAAATATCCATATCAGGGCGCACATACTCAGTGTGGGAAATTTCCTGAGGGGGAGTTACAGGAGAGCAACAAATGAAAAGTGACATCATGACATGAAACTCTGAGTAAGTAGGATGGTAAGTGTGATCACATTCAATTAAATTAAATTAAATTTCCATTACACCAAATCATAATATACATTATCTCAAGACACTTAAGATATGAAGGTCAAGAGCTTAAAATCATATAGAAACAGTTCCCAAAATGAACAAGTGCTTTGGCATCTGTGAAGAGAAAAAGCTCACTCATATCGATATACATCATCAAACTTTTAGATCTGTAAGTCAAACTTTTTTATTGAAAGATTTACAGTCTCATCCCTTCCTCTAGGAAATTGACTGAATTTTTAAAGTAGATGTTTATAAAGTAGATTTGGATTGTTTACTTTTACAAATTTATACTACACTTATACTTCATATTACATGTACACATATGTACATATGTATGTCATTAAAGTAAAAGTTATTTAGCTTCCTGAAAAACTCTTGTATAATGGCTTGTCATATGTCTAACAAACAGATGAACAACACTGAAAACAACAAAGCTCATCAGCCAAATAGAATACAACAGAATATAATTTCTTTATCATGTCGAGACTATCTTTCGATTCCTTTACATATTCCATATGTACAGGGAATGGGAGTGTTCATGGCTCTATCAGGTCGCCCTGCCCTCCCCTATCCCCTGGCCTACAATAGCCCATATTATTCCCTTCCCTCCCTCTCTAGTATTGGATGAAGAGGAGGTTGAAGAGAGGGACATAGACGGAGGGACCCATCCTCCTTCAAGATTAATAAATCAACCTGTGGCCAGCAAATTGTGGATAGCACATTTAGAGGAGAATCAGGTTGGTGTTTTGAAGAGGTCATTGACAGGACAGCCAGGGCTCTGTCTATTGCTTCACAGTTGACAAGTGGTTAGCAGCACATCTGAATATGGATGACAGAGAGCTGGTTTTCTGTGGGCAGCTCCCCAAGTGGACTAGCCCACCCTCTGCCCTGGACAAAAACGTGCAAAAGCATAACCGCCAGCAAGGGAAAGGAGGAGGACCAGGTCTTTAAAGGGCCCACTCCCCATCGTTTCAATAGAGCCAAATCCTGGCCTGGCAGCCTCCCCTGTTAGCAGCCTGGTCAGCTCTAGGGGTGTACCCATGGTAGATATATTTACATATTCTGGCCTGTCAAGAGGGGTTCTAAACACAGGAGAGTGGAGACTCTGTTTTCAAGAGGTCAAGAAGCATCTGGGTTACGTCAGTTAGGCAAAAGTCGACTTGTTTGCTTTCAGAGTCAGTACATTATTTACGCTTCTCCTTGAAGGACAAGGGGGTGCCCATAGTTAACTTAGTCCAGCAGGTACTGGCCCTTTGCTGCATGCATTCTTAGATCCACCTCTGGGATGAGATTCTTTGGCACACCCACGCACCACCTCCTTGGTGCTGCTCAACTGGAATGGCTTAGAAGTGCACTTCTGTTAACTTCTGCCAAGACGATAAGAAAGCTCTTACTCTTGTATACACTTTTATGTAAAGTGATTGTTGCAGGTCGCAGGTCAATGGGTGGGTCGAGGATAGTCCTCTGCCCCATGCCAGTATTCTTGTCTAAGGTTCTGGCTGGGTGCCTCCTGTCCCAGTAAATTGAACTGTAGTCAGTCTCCTTGTCTGAAGAGGAGAGGGTGTTAGAGCACTATCAGTCTATGCTGTGCTCTGCATTCTGCACACAGGCCCTCAAGAAGATCAATCACTTCTTCATTTGCTTCACTTCCAGAAAACTGGATAGGCCCCTATGGTAGTCTATATATTCTGATTGGGTTGTGGACACACTGCGTGAATATACTGTATGTATACATGTATGCATGAGCACAATCAACCTGTGGTGTAATTCATGTTCCTTGTGGCGGGTGCTTATTGCTGTTCTGTATGTGCGGCAGGCACACGGTCATCTCAGTTTACATTTTATGATTCCACCATCTACATGTTTAAACTAGCCCCTCCTTTGGTGAGTTGGTGCTGGGTGAGACTCGTTAATAGACAGCCTAACCATGCATATCTTTCATGTTTGATGTAGTCTCCCTTAGTCAGCTCAAGCTGCTCACAAGCTGTGTAACGACTGAGAATTCAGCACCAGAAACTATGACACAAAGTGTCATAGCAGATTCTAATCTCAATAGGAGCACTACAACTAGTTAGCACCGAGCTGCTAACCCTGCAACAACATCCAACTCATTCCATCATGGAATCCAGCACAGCAACGACTACATTATTCAACATTGGTGTTACAACATCCTCCAACCAGGCTTGTGCACAAGGAATTGCTAGCTGAGAAAGAGGCACACTGAAGAATCTGGAAACATAACAGGGCTAAGCAAGACTAAGCACATGACTTTGGTCAATGTGATGTATTATAAGTTTGAGTTATATTGTTGTGATAATTTGGTGCTCAGATTATTAGGGCCCGGCTCCAACAGTGCGAAGGCCCTATTGAAATTGGTCAGATTATTATTATTTGTCCGCACACTTAATTGATTTTTTCATGGCCTTAACATGCTTAAAACTCATGAAACTGTACAGAAAATTAAACAGTGGTAAAAATTTACCTATTCCGGAGTATTTTGAAATGGGTGTGGCAAATGGCTCAACGCCACCTTAAACAAAGCCCCTGACTTTGCTTTCACCGATTTTCAAGAAATGCGGTACACACGTGTATCATGACCAGACAAAAGCCTCAGGGAGCATTATGAAAAATATAACAGGAAGTCAGCCATTTTGGATTTAGTGGCCATTTTAGACATGTTGTATTTTGACGAGCTCCTCCTAGAGCTTTCATCAAATCAACTTCATATTCAGTGAGTGTCATCTTAACAAGAAGGAGATTAAAATTACCGAAAATTTTTAGTTTTCGTCACACAGTGTTACCTTGGCATCAAATTTTGATGAATACGAGGTTGTTGTATTTCGGACAAACATAGCCCAGTCTACTCCAAACTGGACACGTATGATAAGAGTTCCAGCCTGATGCCACCTACATAGAAATCATTACTTAAAATCACTGCTACCCCTGGTGGAAACAGGAAATGTCTTGTTTTTTGCACGTCTTACACTTTGATTAATTGCTCCTTGGCCATTGGCCACAACCATGTCAAACTTTGTCAGAAGGGCCTCAAGACATTGATGATGTAGGCATATGGAAACTGTGAGTTTTTCGTCGAACACCATGTTAGAGGCGTGGCATCACATTTTAACGAGTCGCTGTGACACATGAAATTGATGTAACTTCAGTATGCATTGTTCAATCTCCCTGAAATTACATTTGCGTAACAACCCCCCCCTCACAGGAAGTCGGCCATTTTGAGTTAAGTGGCCATTTTTTACCATTTACACATTGTATTTGAAAGAACTCCTCCTAGAGCTTTCATCAGATCAACTTTAGATTCAGTGAGTGTCATCTCAACAACATGGAGATTAAAACTACCTTGATTGTTTTAGTGTGCGTCACACGGTCTGACCATGGTGTGGCGTCAAAGTTTCATGACTTGCCAAAAAAGAGGGATTTATTATAACTCCACAAAGCATTGTCCAATCAGCAACACAATTCAGTCACATGATCAGAGTTCCAGCCTTAACAGCTCCATATGTCAATATTGAATCAGGGTAATAGAAACACCTACAGACTCATTGTGAAACAGGATGGTTTTTTTTAACTCCACTGTGAAATTTGGTCAAGCTTCATCACAGCACCAAATGCAGCCGTTTTGCGCAGTCCCTGTCCACCCTCCCCTGTGGCAGTATCATGTCCCGAGTTGAAAGTTGATGTAAGTTATGTGCTCTACCACAGACTGAGGGTCTGTCTTTGCATGGGACCTCAACCACATGGTCTACTGTCCCATGCTGGCTTTTTGTCATCACAGTGGCCACAGAAGCCATTATTTTGTTATGATTTAGCACTGCACAAATAAAATGTATTAAATAAACATGTGTAAAAATATATATGAATCTGAATATGCAATAGCCTCTACTGATTTGTGTGTGAGTGTGTGAATCAAACACACCTTTTCTTTGTAGAACCATCGTAAGGTTGGGTGGGGTGAACCCCGAACCGTGAATTCTATGCAAGTATCATGGCGCCGTTCTGGCTCTTTCAGCTTCACAATGGAGGGAGGAACTGAAAAACAAGACAAAAAAACAAACGAAAGAAAACAAGACATGTGAAGACAGTAAATTATTTTATTGTCGTACACTATCACATGAACATGCACTACAGTTAAACTTGAATTATCTTCCATTATACTTGAAGCACTGTTGCTGTACAAGAGAGCCAGAGATACAATACAGATATATCAAGGAGATAGACTTTAATTATCATTTTAATATGCTGGTCTCATCACAATCTGTTGCAATCGATTTTCATGTGTTCCAGTTCTTGTGTTTCTCTGTTTACTAACAACTGTCTACAAACACAATTTAATGTGTGCTGGAACAGTGTGATTTTCTTACCATAGTTGACTAAATGAAATTCAATACAGCACCAAAGAGAGAGAGAGAGCGAGAGATAGAAATTGATAGCGAGAGATGGGGAGGGGTGGTCATTTGTATTAGTCATTCCATCAAACACACACACACACACACACAGCATTGTAAGGCAGGTAAAGCTTGAGATTGAGCAGGAAAAATGGTTGCCTTCCACAGGGTTCTGGGATTGGCTGAGCCATGTTCTTTGGAACATCAGTTCTGTTTTGCAAATGTACACAGAACCCGTGCACCAAGTACTTATACTGTACATTATCAGAGAGCATAGTGAACAAGCCAATTCTTAACAGAGCTCCAGTGTATTAACTTTGATTGTGCTTATTTACTGAAAATAAATTGTTCCCCTTCACCCCCAATTATACAATTAGAAGCTCTGACCACTCTCTCTTTACAGTCCCATTTGTTAAAAAAGAAGTGAGCAAAAAAGCTTTTATGTTTCAGGCTCCCTCAGATTGGAATCAGTGCCCTTTTAACATCTGTTTGCTTTCATCTTTCAGCGTATTTAAAAATGTTTTGCTTTCTTATCTCAAATCCGACTGTCACTAATAAAATTCACCATGTCACTATTATTTCTTTTTACAGATTGATCCATTTTTCTTCCATTTAATTCATCTCTCATTTAGTTTAAGGTTGTAAACTGTAGTTCCTGTGTTGTTGTCCTGTGTCTGTTCCATTATCGTTGTGTCGTCTTGGATTGCTTTGTTTGTTTTATGATTGTTTTGTGTAGGACCCTCTCAAAAATGAGTTAGTGCAACTCAAGGGGTTCATCCCAGTTGAATAATACATTTCACTCCCCAGAGTTAAATTATTAAGACTCAAAGAATGACTGAGAGAGATATTCCTCTAATCAAACCTAGCTGGAGTTATTCTTGGAAAAGTAGCAAAGTGTTGGTGATGAGGGACTATGTGAGAAAACTCTGGTGGAGTCCCAAAACAGGGCCCATAACGAAGTGCCCATCAGCTGTCCAACCTATCCTCTTAGTGTCTATTGTCTCTTGAGAGCATCATGCTGCAGTTCTGCCAGCAAAGATTCTATAATTTGAAATATGTTTTGATGACACCTCCTCTCACCAGGCAGTCAGGCTGCTGACTCTTCTCCACACACAAAAGCAGAAATCTGCTCATTCCTCTTCATGGCAAATTACTGCAAACACATGGCTACAGTGAAATGGACTCTGTCCTCAGTGCTGCTTCTTTGAACTCTGCCCCTGAACCTATTTAATACATGACTAGGTCATTAAAAAAGAAGGGGGAGAAACGAGAGGGGAGGGGGGTAATATAAGAGTCATATTTAAGCTCTGTCGGACTGGTTGTTATAAAAATAACAATAGTGATACAACAGATGTAATGATTAGTATTTATGATAGCGGCACAAGTTAATAATACACTCCAAACATTTGTGCTGGTTTAGCGATGAGACCCTCAGACACACAAAACAGAGTTCCATGCTTTTCTCATATGCTACCTCAGCCCAACAAGTGGAGTTGTATGTACTTAATTATGCCTGCAATTAAGCATGTCATCTACACTGATTCAAGACAGGCTTTAGTGTCTTTGGTTTATGACTTCCTCAGGCAAACCGATCCAACATGCAGTTATTCCATATATCTGTTTGTTAGAACTTACCGTTCTAAAATGTGCAGCACACCCCGGTAATACTGATTCCATCTCTCAAAGTAACTCAGCTTGCTGCTAAACTAGCTGCACTGAACACTATTTTCTGAGTGCTCTATGTGTTGACCCAAGTGGCTCATACTTTGATACATGTAAGAAAAGATAAGAAGAAATCACATGATCCAAAACCAATGGTAGTCTCCAGGCATTGCTGGTTTAGCCAAATCGTTGGTAGGCAGATGCAAGGTGTGCCTATGAAAAAAAGGGTCAATGAATTAGTAACATATGACCGTCTACTGCCTCAATCAGGACCTTTTGTAAATACACTTTGTACATATACTTTCAAGTATCTCCTCAACGTTGTTAATATGATCTCAAAATGGGGTGAAATTAAGAGAAAAAAACAAGAAGAAAGGATGCAGCAACTGTCTGTCTCTTAAAAGAAGTAATTCCCTGATTTGACATCCAAATGGAATAACCAGTGATAAGGGGAACCCCTTTCATCAAATCACCCAGCACAAGCATTAATTGGTGCCATTAGCACTTTATTCCATCAGATTTACACCTACCCAAACAGCTTGTTTGAGCCTGTATAACGTCTTGATGGGGAAACCTATGTCCACAGGCGCAAGACCACCTCTAACATCTCAGAGGGCTATTCATGTCTTTGATGCCCTTGAGCAAGGCACCAAACTGTCTCCCTGGGTGCCTTCATGGAGCCCACTGCTCCATGTGGTCACTGTGTGTATTGTGTTCTGTGTGTTCCTTGTTCACCTGGATGGGTTAAATGCAGAGGTCAAATTTCCCCATGTTGCATGTAGTGCTGTGTGTGCATGATTAAAAATGAATCTTAAGTATCTTAACTATATACTTGATGTGGTGATTTTGATTATAGTTATTTTGTCAATGATTAATAAGTCTAAATTGAAAGTTAACATTTTTCATTAGACTGATTCAATGAATTTGCTATCTTTTCCCTTTCCTTGAATTCAACTTCAATCAAAGTTATTATTCAATTTTAGTATTTCAATATTAATACATTTTCATGAAAATATTGTGAATGTATTGATAACCAGGGTCCAATACAGTAGCGTTTATAATATTGAGCTACTAAACTCAGGCTAATTATTGGATATTGGATTTCGATAGCTCATGGTCACTAGGAAATATATCAGCATTGCAGCAAAAGACCTTTTCTTAGCATGGAATAAACAATTAACATTTGGCCACGCGTGTTCAATTTAACGACAATCGTATTGTTAGGGGCGGGTGTGTTATCTAGGTTGTCCAGCTATGAGAGATGACTCATGTAGAAACATAGAGAAATGCTGGCTTTTCACCACCAGAGTTTCCTGACAGCCAAGACCACACTCGTTCCAAGTCGTTTGAACCATTGTAAAGGCAGCTGTCTCAGCCAGTGGTGCCAACAGAGTGTGTGAGACAGCCAGGTCTGAATCAGCTGTGTGTGAGGACATGGAGTGGCAGGAGAGGATGGAGGACATCTCTATATAAAAGATAATGTGGTGGTTTAGTTTCAGTATAGATTTGATTATGACTTTTCCAGTGGGTTCCAGATTCCCACTCACAAATGGTCGCTCCTGGCATTTTTTCAGAGGCTAACTTTTTCAAATATATACAACTGTCATGAGATAGAGATATCCCAAACAGTTGACTCGTAAGCACGTAAGCATTGGCCCTGGAAGGTCCAAGAAGGTTTGAAACACTGGTGTCATTATGAGCTATGTTTTACAAATTT